AATATGACCCATCGCCGTTTTCAGTAATTGGCATATTTTCGGTATAAAAAATCGTAATTTGAAAATGAAAATAGGTGCAGAGAGTCAGAATTCGGCTCAAAAATCACACTCAGGGGTCCAATTTCCGACATTTCAGATATTTTGAAAACTGCAGGGGGGTTTGGGCAAAATATGACCCATCGCCGTTTTCAGTAATTGGCATATTTTCGGTATAAAAAATCGTAATTTGAAAATGAAAATAGGTGCAGAGAGTCAGAATTCGGCTCAAAAATCACGCTCAGGAGCCAAATTTCCGACGTTTCAGTAATTTTGAAAACTGCAGGGGGGTTTGGGCAAAATATGACCCAACGACGTTTTCAGTAATTGGCATATTTTCGGTATGAAGAGTCGTAATTTGGAAATGAAAATAGGTGCAGAGAGTCAGAATTCGGCTCAAAAATCACGCTCAGGAGCCAAATTTCCGACGTTTCAGATATTTTGAAAACTGCAGGCGGGTTTGGGCAAAATATGACCCATCGCCGTTTTCAGTAATTGGCATATTTTCGGTATAAAAAATCGTAATTTGAAAATGAAAATAGGTGCAGAGAGTCAGAATTCGGCTCAAAAATCGCGCTCAGGAGTCAAATTTCCGACGTTTCAGATATTCTGAAAACTGCAGGGGGGTTTGGACAAAATATGACCCATCGCCGTTTTCAGTAATTGGCATATTTTCGGTATAAAAATCGTAATTTGAAAATGAAAATAGGTGCAAAGAGTCAGAATTCAGCTCAAAAATCACGCTCGGGAGTCAAATTTCCGACATTTCAGATATTTTGAAAACTGCAGGGGGGTTTGGGCAAAATATGATCCATCGCCGTTTTCAGTAATTGGCATATTTTCGGTATAAAAAATCGTAATTTGAAAATTAAAATAGGTGCAGAGAGTCAAAATTTGGCTCAAAAATCACGCCGAGTTAAATTTCCGACATTTCAATTATTTTGAAAACTGTAGGGGGGGTTTGGGCAAAGTATGACCCATCAACGTTTTCAGTAATTGGCATATTTTCCGTTTAAAAAGTTGTAACTTGAAAATGAAAATAGGTGCAGAGAGTCAGAATTCGGCTCAAAAATCACGTTCAGGAGTCAAATTTCCGACATTTCAGATATTTTGAAAACTGCAGGGGGTTTGGGCAAAATATGACCCATCGCCGTTTTCAGTAATTGGCATATTTTCCGTTTAAAAAGTTGTAACTTTAAAATGAAAATAGGTGCAGAGAGTCAGAATTCGGCTCAAAAATCACGCTCAGGAGTCAAATTTCCGACATTTCAGGTATTTTGAAAACTGCAGGGGGGTTTAGGCAAAATGTGACCCATCGCTGTTTTCAGTAATTATTTATTCGGATTAAAAAGTCGTAATTTCAAACTGCAAATATGTTCAGAGAGCCAGAAATTGGCTCCAAAATATGGCTCAGGAGTCATATTTAGGATATATTTAATATTTTGAAAACTGCTGGGGGGGGGGGTTTGGAAATATATGACCTATCGCTGTTCTCAGTTATTGACATATTTTCGGTACAAAAAGTCGTAATTTCATAGTGCAAATAGAGTTCGTTCATGGTCCCTAATTAGTTGAAAGATGGAGCCTGAGATATCCAGTACTTAAGGATTTGCAAGTAGACCAAGGTGTCACACACGGTCAGAGACCTGCAAGAACCGTGCAACGTCCTGTGGGATCTTTGGAGTCGTTCAGTGACTGGTGCCACTTAGTGGAGAAGCTGAGTCCCTTCAGTTAGAGGTTGTGAGGGGGGGGGAAGGTGAGCTTGTGAGGGGGAGGAGGTGAGGTTGTGAGGGGGGGGTAAGGTGAGGTTGTGAGGGGGGGGAAGAAGAGGTTATCTTGAGATGATTTCGGGGCTTTTTAGTGTCCCCGCGGCCCGGTCCTCGACCAGGCCTCCACCCCCAGGAAGCAGCCCGTGACAGCTGACATCCAGGTACCCATTTCACTGCTAGGTAACAGGGGCATAGGGTGAAAGAAACTTTGCCCATTGTTTCTCGCCGGCGCCTGGGATCGAACCCAGGGCCACAGGATCACAAATCCAGCGTGCTGTCCGCTCGGCCGACCGGTTCCCCGGTCGAGAACCGGGGAACCGGTTGGTTGTGACGAGGTCTTGCAAGAAGTGAAAGGGGGGGATAGTATTATGGAGAAAACAATACAAAAGAGAGGAGAAGAAAGCTAGGAGAAGGAGTTAGGCACTCAGTCCTGCCTAGCAGGTGCACAATGAAGTCCCATTAACGTTATGTATCAATGGGAAAATCAGTAGGAACCATGAAGAGGATTCGAACCAACACATTGGATACTCCCAAGTTAGCGCCCTAGACCACCACGTCACGGCATGGTCAAAGGCAATGCAACCTGGGATTCCACTGAACCCTCTAGGATGTCTGACCATATCGTGGTGTGGTGGTCTGGTCAACCAGGCTGTTACACGTCTAGTTGATCAGGTAGCCTTTGGTGGGGTTTATAAAACCCCTTTTTAAATATTGAACGAGATGGACTAGTTCTGCCTCGTATGTTTAAAAGCGTGGGTGAATAGTCTTGCATGGGAGCTTAAAGTTCATAGAATTGTCTATTATCGTTCTGATTGCAGTAGCGTCTTATCATGTCCCATAATCTCTTGTTTGAAAGTTCTTGTTATCCAGCCTATCCTTTTAATTGTGACAGTTGTTTTAATGTGTTCTTCAAACGTCTTCCGGTATATTTTCATGTATTTTGGAATATACATGTTATACATGTTGCTGTCAGCGTCAGGATTTGTTTGACCTTCACGCGTCGTGGAGTACTGAGTGCCTCTGACCTCTATTGACCTGGCTATCCAAGGGGGGAGTTGAGTTGTATAGTTTGTGGGTTGTTAGTGTAATCATGGAAGCTTTCATATATGAGTTATGGTCATCGCAGTGCTTCAAACTCTACCCGTATGCAGGCGATGAGTCACAATAACGTGGCTGAAGTATGTTGACCAGACCACACACTAGAAGTTGAAGGGACGACGACGTTTCGGTCCGTCCTGGACCATTCTCAAGTCGACGAAACGTCGTCGTCCCTTCAACTTCTAGTGTGTGGTCTGGTCAACAAACTCTACCCGTTTTAGAATGTTGTTGTTGACCGCCTTTTTCAGAGGTCAAGTTCATCTATTGACGGTAACAAATGTGCTCCTGACATTGCCCCTCATTACTGACTATATCTCTCCAGAGTTGCAGGAGACAGTAACCAAGACAGACCTACCCTGACCCAGCTTGCAGACTCTTGCAGAGTTCGTGTTGCTCGCCAATGAGTCCTGAAGACCCCCTATACTCAGGCAGCCTCGTCTGTTCATTTGCCATTACGTAAAAATCCATCCACTTCCTACCCTAACCAGAAACCCAAGCAACCCACCTAACCCACAAAATGTGATGCACAGTAACTGTGGACATTTGTGAGCATTTTGAATAGTAAGTTGCATTCGTAAGGTTGGTTACCATAACATAACAAACAGGACCTATTAGCCGAGAGGACGGAATGGTTATGACAGCTGCTCTCATGTCGTTATAATTCTTTCCTCTCTCGCACTCCAACTCGGTAAAAAAAGTAAGAGTGAAGTCGAGTTTTATTGAAGTAATGAGGTGAGCGGAATTTGAAGATATGCTTGAAACTATCCCACCATTTGTGTCTCTCTTCGGACTTGGGAAGCATTAATAACTTTTTAAACTGCGAATACAAACTAGATATTTAGTGTTGAAATGTACGAGGTAAAAACTAGTAGATGAAATTATCAACTAATAACTTGACTGCCTAAACAATAGAATAATTGGGGAATTTAGTGAGGGATTGATGGAATGGAACGAGACACTTTTAAACATTAGGTGGGGCGCATGGTGTAGGTGTGGCCAGGGTGGGGGTGTGTAGGGCTGTGTCACAGTGTGGGTGTGGCCAGGGTGGGGGTGTGTAGGGCTGTGTCACAGTGTGGGTGTGGCCAGGGTGGGGGTGTGTAGGGCTGTGTCACAGTGTGGGTGTGGCCAGGGTGGGGGTGTGTAGGGCTGTGTCACAGTGTGGGTGTGGCCAGGGTGGGGGTGTGTAGGGCTGTGTCACAGTGTGGGTGTGGCCAGGGTGGGGGTGTGTAGGGCTGTGTCACAGTGTGGGTGTGGCCAGAGGGGTGTGTAGGGCTGTGTCACAGTGTGGGTGTGGCCAGGGTGGGGGTGTGAAGGGCTGTGTCACTGTGTGGGTGTGGCCGGGGGGGTGTGTAGGGCTGTGTCACAGTGTGGGTGTGGCCAGGGTGGGGTGTGTAGGGCTGTGTCACAGTGTGGGTGTGGCCAGGGTGGGGTGTGTAGGGCTGTGTCACAGTGTGGGTGTGGCCAGGGTGGGGTGTGTAGGGCTGTGTCACAGTGTGGGTGTGGTCGGGGGGGTGTAGGGCTGTGTCACAGTGTGGGTGTGGCCGGGGGGTGTGTAGGGCTGTGTCACAGTGTGGGTGTGGCCAGGGGGGGGAGAGGGGGTCGGCGCTAGGGTGGCTGTTAGACTCCTGAGACTACACTTGCATACTGGCTGTACTATATTATACAACCTGAGGTTTCCTTGCGTATTTGAAGGGAGCGTTTGGTGGAGAACATTACCTGCGTCACAGTGTATTGGGGTTATGTATTAAACTTGGGCTGGCTACCAGTTGGTGCCTGCAGACTCCTTCTGGACTCGGGCGGATCCCAAGTTGTATAATGTTTACCATGTCGTGGTCCAGGGGTAAGGCACGCTTCTGGGAGAACCAAGGACGCTGGTTCGATCCCCGTCCTGCTTCAATAATATGTTCATAGATATATCACGTTTGTGTGTATGTGACAAACGAATAATTTCTTGTCTAATAAAACACATACACATGTATTGAATTATGTCCAGTAACATATGTTCCTTTAGCCTAGGAGAGTGTGCACTTCCCACGTGTAATCTAGTAGGCCGTATGTGGTGTAGTGTTGCGCTGATGTTGTTGCCCGTGTCCGCAGCTGTGAACGAGGTGTACAGCTGGCTGTCAGAGCACGGACTAGACCGACGCGCTCCCCCCTCCATGCGGCTCAGGTTCGGCAAGCGGGACATGGGCTGGCAGGTGGCCCAGCGCTCCATGCCCTCCCTCAGGCTACGCTTTGGCAAGCGGACCGTCGACCAGGTGAGTCTCTCTCTCTCAGTCTCAGTCTCAGTCTCTCTCTCTCTCTCTCTCTCTCTCTCTCTCTCTCTCTCTCTCTCTCTCTCTCTCTCTCTCTCTCTCTCTCTCTCTCTCTCTCTCTCTCTCTCTCTCTCTCTCTCTCTCTCTCTCTCTCTCTCTCTCTCTCTCTCTCTCTCTCTCTCTCTCTCTCTCTCTCTCTCTCTCTCTCTCTCTCTCTCTCTCTCTCTCTCTCTCTCTCTGTCTCTCTCTCTCTCTCTCTCTCTCTCTCTCTCTCTCTCTCTCTCTCTCTCTCTCTCTCTCTCTCTCTCTCTCTCTCTCTCTCTCTCTCTCTCTCTCTCTCTCTCTCTGACCTTGAGACACAAAGGAAGGCAGATGGTGAGTCACAATACCATGGCTGAAGAGATGATGACCAGGACCACACGTCAGAATATGAAGAAACGACGTTTCGGTCCGTCGTGGACCATTATCATGTATGTCGTGTACATGACTTGATAATGGTCCTCGCTTACCAAACTAGATTCATTTGGATCACTGGGGATACTGCTGCCAAACTGAAAGCGAAGGTGGATAGATTGGTTGAAACTGCAACTGCTTAAGCCAAAAAAGGTCTGGACTTCACCTGCCGAAAACTACTGAAGAATACAAGCTTATGGGAGTTGGTATTTGTCGAGACCCACAACTACCTACACCCACGTTCACACTGCTCATTCCAGACGTGCCATGCGCTGTCAGCCTTAAATCTCCAAAGGAATTTGTTGATTTATATTGGCCGAGATCATCCCTGAGCGTTGAGTCGCTCTTCGGCAAGGTGTCCGTGGACGAGACTATGGGAATGATGGTGGACAGAGGTTTATCGGGAGCCCTGATGGTCGCATGTTCAAGCAAGTAGCGTCGCCATGCGTTACCCCTTCATGTTGTTTCTGAACGTTTGACATTCTTACACATCTCTGACATTGGAATGCTTCCTTAAGTGGTAGCAAGCGCTAGTCAAGTTCCGCGCTAAATTTCACTTACGAAATAGTGAAGGTGAGTTGTGTTTCCTTACATGTCTCTGTCTGGGGAAGAAATGGTGACTTTCACACTACCGTCTACACTAAGGGAAACAACATAAGAATGTGCCCTAATGCTAGCAGTGAGCGCCATGACAGGTGCAAGCGTCGTGTTGTTGGCGCCATGTCAACTGTGCTCTCTCACACACCTACAGTTGGAGATTGACAAAGCATTTATTATCATTACAAATAAGATAAACCAGCCAAGCCACCAAACAGACAACACTACAGTAGCTACCTCACCAGTTAAACTATTCTACAAGAACTTCTTTTCCACAGCTCACAAAATGGAGGAAAGAGTCTTAAAAGACATTACTAATAGGAACGTGACCTCTGTCTACTCTATCCTCTATTTAATTGGTGTCGATAATCTATTACAAAAGGAAAAAGACCGCCAACTTGTGCATGAAGAACTTCCCCGACACCAAACGAAACTCCTTGAAATAGACGAATGTCGTCTATGCCTTCAAATACCTACTTTGGGACTGTCAACTCCAACGATCTCATTATATGGGCAAGACAAAAATAATATATCTTTCAAAGTGCACAAACAACAAGCCTCCATAAAAGAACATATAATTTCTGCATAAACCAGATTATCGCCAGAGACATCCTGACCAAAACACCAAAATAATCGATAGACACAACGACACTAAAAGATTAGACATCGGCGAAGCACTACACATGAAAAACTCAATCAACTTTTAACAGCCAGCTCACACTCTGACACATTCTACCACCTTCAAGACCAAGGCAAGACATCCAGCACACGCTGCCACATTATAAAAACGTAAACAGTAGAAGCCCTACGAGCCTATGCGACACCTTACTTCACCTCATCTTTTTTGGTTATATATTCGGATTCTCAGCTTTTGCTTTCGAAAATGATGAGTTCAACGAAACGCATCTCTTACGTCAGGATATATAAAACTCCAAAATTAACCCTGAAGACTTAATATTTTAAACTTCTTAAGTGAAGAACATAAGAAATATAGAGAAGATTCGTGCTAGAATCATTGATGTAACCCTTTGTCATATTCAATAATATATATATATATATATATATATATATATATATATATATATATATATATATATATATATATATATATATATATATATATATACACACACACACACAATCACACAGTAGTCTGCACAAATCCCTGGGACCTGCTCTGCATAACCAATTTGGTGGGAGCAGGTAGGCAGACGAGACCACTGAGGGATCCCGGTGGTGGCCACACTTACTGGAGTAATTACCATGTATCAGTGACCGCCTGATGTCTCTATCCACCCACTACCCAATAATATTCTTCCAAACACACAAACACAATATGTTGTGTGTGTGATTAAAGGCGGGGTCCAAGAGCTAAATAGCTCAATTCTGCAGACACAAATAGTAATTACACACACACCTTGCCTATTCATATCCCCAGTGATATCTATCCACCTATATACCTACATGCCGTATTTAGCATTTCAATATCTATCCATCTATATCTATCAACCGTGACTATGACCGTCCCTGGTGAAGAGGACGGGGACTGGCCAGAGCCCATGTATGACCCTCTGTCCTGTGTGACAGTGAATACCAGCATTATCCTCACCTTAAGACTTAATTGAAATCCTCAGATTAGGCAAAATTTTAATTAAATTTTGTCAATAACGATGTTAATAATAATAAGTTTGGTCGGGAAGTTTTTAATCGTTTTTCCAGACAGAGCCACACCTCTGGGGGGGGGGGGTGTGGGGTGTTGGGGTCACACCTCAGGTGTAGCCACACCTGACATCATATGTAGTGACATCAGGCAGGGGCCACACCTGTTGGCGAGTGAGGGAGTTAACTTTTTAATGGTGAGAAGGAACTTACCCATAAAAGATTCTTTGTGAGTGAATGTGTGGTGATGCTCTGTGATGACAGTGTGTGGTGATGATGTGAGGTGATGATGTCAAGTGACGGTATGTAGTGACATTGTAGTAGTGTATGGTGATGATATAATTACCTAAGTGTAGTTACAAGATGAGAGCTACGCTCGTGGTGTCCCGTCTTCCCAGTACTCTTTGTCGTATAACGCTTTGAAACTACTGACGGTTTTGGCCTCCACCACCTCCTCACTTAGCTTGTTCCAACCGTCTACCACTGTTTGCAAAAGAAAACTTTCTAATATTTTTTTCGGCACGTTTGTCTCTTTAGCTTGAATCTGTGTCCTCTTGTTCGTGAAGTTGCTGGTTTTAAGAATTCCTCTTTGTCAATTTAGTCGATTCCTGTTAGTATTTTGTAAGTGGTGATCATTTTTTTAAATTAAATTTTGCCCCGAGGGGCGAGTTTATTGGGCAGCGCCACTCATCTTGTGAGTGAACATACCGCCATAGCAGAATGTACAACACTCCCCAATAGGAAGAAAACCCGCTGGGTTGTTCATCCTGTCACTTGTACCCAGACACAGCTGGGACTGGCTTAACTGTCTCAAGTGAACAGCTCCTCAAACAAGAAGATTAACATTTATCAACCCTTAAAAGCTTACGTTATCTTACGGGTGCAAAATGGGGAAATCTTTTAAGAACAGTATCAATATTTGACAAATAGTGTTTTCCTAACTCAAACAATGTAGGGTTTATAATTCTACAGTTATTCCTAGTGTCTCTCAGGTGTTCATATTCACGTAGATAGTGGTCAAGGCGGTGTCCATCACTCTCACCACAGATTCTGCAACTTCGCTGATCAACTGTTGTTTCCATTCCAAATCTCCATGGATATTTGTATCCAAGACGGATTCTCGCTATTACAGATTCTCTCACTCGTCGTCCTCCTCTTCGGCCATACTGATTGGGATTGCCAGCTGCAACCATGTTGTACCATCGTACAGATTCACTGGTTTGTGCTTCTATCCTCAGTTACCTTGTCACGGTGATGTTGCCTGATAATACCTCTAATTTGTAGTTGAGTCTTGGGTATGAAGTATTCAATATGGTCTCCTTCAGCGCCTTCAGCAGCCAGCACATCTGCTCGTTCATTCCCACATATTCCAACATGGGAGGGGATCCACAGAAACTTGATGACTCTTCCCTGATTGGTAAGTACTCTCACAGCTCTCTTGATTTCAGCGACTATTGCAAGATTTTCTGCCTGATTTTTACTTAGGCTTTGCAGTGCTGCTTTTGAATCGGTGCAAATCACTGCACCATTAGTGTTCCGTTCAAGAAACCTTAACGCCATAACAATGGCAGTTAGCTCTGCTTGCGTTGAAGAGGCATAGTTCTCAATGCGTGCTTTTTCTTCATTTCTGCGTTGGAAGGTATTATCCTTGATTACCGTGTATGCTGCACCAGCCCTGCCATTGATAGGATTAGATGACCCGTCAGTGTAGATTTGATCTAGTTCATCTCCGGCTTCTTTATAAATGTCCTCGAGATACTTGTGCCTCATTTCTTGTGGTATCATGTTGGATTTTTTCATTGCCATTTCATTGATGATGATCTTGCATGAGTCATCCTCCCAGGGAGGTAACCTCTCTACAGGCAGGAGCTCACGGGCTTGCTCAAGCAGGTGAAGCTCTTCAAGGTAGCAGACTGATCTGTGATGCCATTTTTTGCTTCTCCTGTTTCCCCCTGAAAGTAGCACAGAGCTCAGTTTTTTCTTGGCAATATCATTGTAATGGGGATCTCTGGCTATCCTAATTGCAAGCTTAGCATTCAGCTCCTGAATTCTGCTTTTAATACTGGGAAGGGACAACTCCTGGTGATCATGTCATCTCTTTTTCTCCTATCTTCAAGTTTTGGCATGTTCAACGCCTCTGGTCTCTGCTCATAACTCTTGTTTTTCAGTTCGGGAAGCCATTTTGTAGCATGCCGTTGCTCCGTGTACTGTGGGAGGTGCATGAAGGATGGTGACACAACCGGGTACCCACTGTGATGGTAGTGATTATACTCGACGTTGTCATGTGTTGTTGGTACCCGCCTGGTACCAACAGCAAACAGGTGTTCAGGGACGACAGAGCTACCAGTTGAAATATCTCTTATTTTTGTATTCCTCCTTCCTCTTCCCTTCATTGTTTACATGGTCCCGACCCCGTGTTCCTCCTGCGCCGCCCCCGGCCCGGGGACCCAGGGAGCAGCAGGCTGTCACAGTCCGCTAAACATAGCAGCAAGTTATGATAGCAAAGTCTCGCTCAACCTGGCGACGTATACCTTGGGGAGTATACACTTGGTTACTATTTATGGCTACATAATACTTGCTCTGTTTACACAAATCTGTTGATGCTGACGAGATATTATTATTATAGTTAATAATAATTATTATTATTAGCAGCTATTCCTGATAGGAATACTTTGTTTTTGTTTTCCTTTAGTTCTTCCTCAAAGTTTCAGTTATCTCGACAATGTTTATTGTTTTGAGCAGAAAATTATGGCTGCTATTGAAACTGTTAAGTGTAGCCCCTTATCATGTTTTTAACTTTCTTTGACTAGTTCGAGAAGTCGTCATCATCTTGACATGACCTGTGTATGTTGACAGAGCTGCCGTTGGTGTGGCTTCTAGGTACTGTAGCCCATTGTCAGCACATAGTAGTCAGCAAAATCACTCGCAGGTCCATCAGTCCCGCGTTCGATTCCCGGGCGGGTGCGAGACGGCTGGTCTCCTACACTCGATGTCTCCGTTCGTCTTGTATTAACTTGGTACCTGGGAGTTAGACTGTTGTGGGTAGCATCTGGCGAGTCAGTCGTTGTGCTGGAGAAACCTCGATATACCTAACAGATTTCCCGTACCCGACAACAAGAAATTATTACAAAATCATTATTGTATTTGTGTGTGTGTGTGTGTGTGTGTGTGTGTGTGTGAGAGAGAGAGAGAGAGAGAGAGAGAGAGAGAGAGAGGGAGAGAGAATCCTCGTGGTTCGTACTGGTTTTCTCAAATTATTATTTATTTAAACGCTTACAATGGGATATTTAACTATGTTGATGTGTTAATTATGTATCCTTAAATGCACTTCATTCTTTAATATACGATTTACTAACCCCCCTTTTCTCTCTTTCCCTCGTCCCTCTCTTTTCCAACCTTTACCTTGTTCTTCCTCTCCTCCCTCACCTCTCCTCCCTCACTTCTCCCCCCCCCCACAGGAGGAGCCACTGTACGACCATGACCTGGTACGCAAGGACAGTCGTACGCCAGCCCTCAGACTCCGCTTCGGCAAGCGTGATTCATCCTACGGACAGGTTAGTTGTTAGTGGGGAGGAGTGTTTGTTTATATGGAGCAGTGTTTCTGTGTTGGCGTTCACCACCAAAGATCACAGTCACTTCAAAATGTACCACTTAGGGGTTATTCATGTCCGTGTCACCTCTTTGGGGTAACGTAATCTTCATCAATCAATGTGTTGGGAATAGTGTTAGTGGAGATTAGTGTTTGTTGAAACTAGTGTTTAGCTACTTAAGTGTAGTTAAAGTCAATCTAAAATAAAGTTAATAAAGTTATGTGTAATCCCGGGCGCCGGCGAGAAACAATGGGCAGAGTTTCTTTCACCCTATGCCCCTGTTACCTAGCAGTAAAATAGGTACCTGGGTGTTAGTCAGCTGTCACGGGCTGCTTCCTGGGGGTGGAGGCCTGGTTGAGGACCGGGCCGCGGGGACACTAAAGCTCACGATAACCTCAAGATAGTTACAGGATTAACAATTACATAGCATTTATTTACATTCATTTCCATCTGCCAAGTGTTGCTCCACTCAATTTTATCTCGGTCGTTTTGAGAGACAAGACAGTCACACAAGTCTTTTACTCTCCTTAGTGACTTAGCCTCACCTGCAAACCATATTTACGTGACTGAATCTCCTCTGGTAGATCGTTTATATAAACAACTAGCAGGGGTACCCGGCGGTGCCCAGGTCTTTACTTGCTCCTCTCCCTCCCTCCCATTCTCTCTCGGGCAAAAGATGCTCGAGGAACAGTGAATCAACGCTATCGACGTCGATTTAATGTCGAAAACAGCCGAGAAAAAATTGGCAAACAAACCATAATCAAACCCACATTTACGACCTATGAGAGTCTTTGGTTGTCGCACTAGGAGCCACTCCTACTTCAAGAGGGGCATGCGAGTTGAACCCAACCACCCTATGACACGCGCTGTACGATCACAACCACGGAAAGTTGTAAGAGGCTAACTCGCCTCCAACCTCGAGCAGACCAAAACACAAATGACATTCTCTTTTATACATAATGATGAACATTATCAGCGCAAGAACTGAACATTGTGTGTGCTCTGTAGTGTATAGCCTTTGTGCCTCTGGTCCTGTCCTCGTGAGATTGTGTGTTGTGTGTGTGTGTACCTAGGTAAGTTGGCTCATGCTTGTAATATGGTTCAAGGTGTTTATCAACCTACATGTTCACTCATACATTTATTACTAAGTAATAATATATTTGGAACTTGGTGTTATGGTCAACACGTGAGCTGTTCGTGTTTCTCTCTCTCTCTGCCTCTATTGACTTGGAAAAGGATGACCTCCCCTCTCAGCCGGAGTGCAGGGCTGCCGGTAGCTGCATGCTTTACTTCGCCTGATACCCCTCATCTCCCTCTGCCTAACTTCTCCCCTTTCCCCCCTATTCCCCACCTCCCTCATAAACCCCCTTCCCCCCTATCCCCCCCTCCCAGCTAAACCCCCTTTCCCTAGCAGCTGGTAGTCCAATACTTCAGCTAATTACAGGCAATGTATGATAGATTTTTTTTTTAATTTTGCAGATGTCAGTACTTTATGTTTACAGGAAGGAAAATCATTGCCGACATCACTGTATTATGTTTCATGACTTAGTAAGAACAAATAATTGTTTTGAACTTATGTTTTTATCACCAGCGTCACTACAAATTACATGGAGAAATAATTGGTCGCCAAGGGACGCTGGTTACATTCTAATAGAAGAAATCTATTCTAATAGAAGAAATATATATATATATATATATATATATATATATATATATATATATATATATATATATATATATATATATATAAATAATACTAGACTATGAAAATAAATTGAGTAAATCTCACCTCACCACCCAGCAAACAAACTATATTGGTTCACTCACATAAGAGAGTATAAACAAATTTTCAAGAGTAAACAGAGCCGGTAGTGATAAACAAGAGTGTGTGTAGTCTGAGAGGACGACCGTGGCCCATTACCCAAGTTGCAGGTGTCGCCGTAGCCTCCGGCCAGCAGGCTGTTTACACTGGAGAACTTCCGCCAACAGATACACCTACAGTGTTGTTGATGGGGAGTGCATGTTCTTGCGCGACTGTGTGTGCGTCCTTGCGTGACTGTGTGCGTCTTTGCATGACTGTGTGTGTGTGTTTCCACAGGAATAAGCTCTGCCGCTTGAGCCTGCTGTTTATAGGCGACTAACTGTTTAGTTCGATTATTCTTTCTTTTCTCTTTTTTAGTTCTCTATCGCAGCTGCATTGAAGGCGTGAATGGCGGTGGCTTCCAGCACCTCTGCTTCCAGTTCGCCTCGCTTGCTTTCCACTTTTACGTCTCCACGACTCATTTGTGTTTCCAGCTTCCACCTGTGTTCCCTCATTTCACTCCCCACCATGTGGAATACGTTTTCTACACCTCTATCCTCTTCAGTATCTTGTACGTTGTTATCATGTTTACTGTGGTCCTTCTCTCCTCTAGTTCATGTGCTTCACAAGGTGAGGGATTCACGCCGGTCCTAGTTAGGTATGCTGCTCACAGTGTTCTCTTGAACTAGCTACGTCTCTCAAATTTGTTCTTAGTTCCATTCTTAGTTTCGTGCCGTCCAGTATTCCTCAGCCAGTAGAGTATCGACTATGTTTCTCAACCTATTTTTCCATCTCATGTTAGCCTGTTATGAGGGACGCATCGAATCCTGTTATTATTTTTAGCAGGCTAGGAAGATGGAAAGTCATTCCCTCTAACTTTTCTGCCATTCTGTCCAGTAACTCTTATTCAGTTCGTCAGATTTGTTAACTCCAAATCCTTGCGGCAACCTCGCTCTTTGCTGGGTCAGCGTTCGATCTCCGATGATCCAAGTGATTGGACATCCCTATTCTTAGTGTGTCCTGATAATTCAGCTCATTGTCCTCATAACCCAGCTGTTAGTGGAGTTTGTAAAGTTGTGCAGGTGGTCTGCAGCAGCGATGAGTTGAAGGCAAGAGGTGCAATGCGGTATTTCATTGGTCTGAAGTGTGCTTCACGACTACAAGAAGTGAATGGCATTTTTGGCGGGTCTTTGGACTGTAAAGGTGCGTGTGTCGGCGCCCTAAACCAGGACTGTGATGGGGGAATTGGTCTGTGTGGTCCCTTAGGCCAAGACGTGGGTTGAGAGGAAGGCGGTAGTGATCTCTAGCCTTCGTGAATTAATAAAAACTATTAGCTACCAGGTTTTGTTAATCCTCAATATAATATTATCTTGTAAATGCATTGTGTGTTGTAGATTGCTTCAGTAGCAACATACGCGTAAACCTGAAGGGCAAAAAAAAGTGTTGAATGTAACATGGCAAACATCATGACACTGGAATTTTTATATTCGTTCTTGACGCATTTTCTGGTCACCAGCGCGTCCAGGAAGTGCTGCTTGTCCTTGGAAATGGCACCAGTTATGAAAAGATTCGTTCTGCTGGGAGGATAGCCCATGTACTAGGAAAGTAGATCATGTCCTGTGCTTTGGTTACAAGTAAATGACTTGTTGTTTAGACAATGGTGTTGATCTCTAGATTGTATTGGTCCCAGAAAATGGCAGTATTGTGTGAAATGACAGACACAGGAAATGTTGTCTCCTCTGTCGCGCTGCAGAGACACATGATGTGTTGCAATTACGTGTCCATCATGAGATGGGCTCGCGCCCCCCCCCCTCTCCCTCTCCCTCTATCCTCTCTCTCTTCCCCCCCTCTCTCTCCGTCTCTCTTCCCCTCTCCTCTCTCTCTTCCCCTCTCTGTCTCTCCCTCTCACACAAACTGGAAAAGGTGCAACGGCATGCTACAAAATGGCTTCCGGAACTGAAAAACAAGAGTTACGAGGAGAAACTAGAGGCGTTAAACATGCCAAAACTAGAAGATTGATAATGAGATATGATCACCACTTACAAAATACTAGTATGAATCGACAAAATTGACAAAGAGAAATTTCTGAAACCAGCAACTTCACTAACAAGAGGACACAGGCTCAACCTAAGGAAACAAAGGTGCCGAAAAAATAGCAGAAACTTTTCTTTTGCAGAGTGGTAGACGGTTGAAACAAGCTAAATGAGAAGGTGGAGGCCAAAACCGTCAGTAGTTTCAAAGCGTTATACGACAAAGAGTATTGGGAAGACGGGACACCACGAGCTTAGCTCTCATCCTGTAACTACACTTAGGTAATTACACACCTAGCGTGTGTGAGTGGACAGCGCTCGGGGGTCGTAGTCCAAATGATACGGGTCGATTCCCGGAAAAGGCGGAAACAAAGGGGCAGAGTTTCTTTCACCTTGATATCCCTGTTCACCTAGCAGTAAACAGGTACCTGGGAGATAGACAGCTGCTACGGGCTGCTTACTGGGGATGTGCGTGTGTCAGAGACAAATATATATATATAGAAGAAAAATAGATTGGTTAGAAAGGCGGGGTCCAAGAGACCGATTCTGCAGATACAAATAGTAAATACACACACTGCTGTGCCGGCCCCCTAGCGGCCAGGGAAGTAAACACTAACTACTGGAAGAGAAGCGCTTCTGAGTAATACAACTATATTAATGATATGTATGTTGTATGTGTGTCAAACACTTGTATGTGATACAATAGACAAGAAGCTGGGACGAGGCTTCGGTAGGCCCCTTTTCCAGGAGGCCTAGGTAGTCACCCTTTTTTTTTTTGGAGGGGGGAGGTAAACAGGATGGAGAGGCACATGTGAAGAGAAAGTTTAGAAATGGGAAATGCAGTATGAGTTATTATGGCAGGCGGACTGTCTGCCTTGCTAACACGGTGTGTCGGTGTGTATGTTGGCAGCTAAGCTTGCTCTCTCTTGTCAGGAATAATAGTAATGGTCTTGAATTTGGATCCATTTTAATGGATCAATTAAAAAATGATCTTTGTATGATGATTAACAGACAGCTATAGGGATAATACTTCCAGGAACTCACATGTGTTAGCCATTAGGTCATCTGCAGAAAGTGTTCAAGTAATTTATTGTTTAATTTTCCCTTCAGGGTTATACGTTTTCGTATTATTTATCACGTGATAATTTCTTCATGATTTATACCCTGTGGGTGTGTATAAGTCACGAATACACACTCACATATTCGGGGTGGGGGAGGGGTCTAATGTATACTTTTAACTGTGTAAAATAAACAAAACCAACTTGAAATGAACAAAACTCAATAGAGATCAAGTGAAAATGTTTGATTTTATTGACTAAATTATATATTCAAGTTAATTTTCTATTGTGTGTCTCCTCAGGAAGAACAAGATGTTGCCAGCCAGGAGCAGTAAGAAGCAGTGGCGGGAGCAAGGTGACGAGGCTGCCACTACCCCCAGCTCCGCACAGGATACATGCCACTATATCCTACACACCTGATACCACAAGCACCGTGCCATATCCTACACACCTGATACCACAAGCACCGTGCCACTATATCTTACACACCTGATACCACAAGCACCGTGCCATATCCTACACACCTGATCCCACAAACACCGTGCCATATCCTACACACCTGATGCCACAATATCTTACACACCTGATACCACAAGCACCGTGCCATATCCTACACACCTGATCCCACAAACAACATGTCACGATACCCTACACATCAGAGGCAGCGGCGGGCACGCTCTTCCACTTCTCATTCAGCTCTGCCTGTTTCTTAAACTAGTTCCCTTCTATTTGGGTCATATTATTTTCTCTGTTTGCCTATACTGTTATGGATCATTAAATTACATGGCCAGAACATCGAGAATGTTTTCTCCTAAATATGATTGTAAAATCCTGCCATGGATTATAATTTGGCTAATATGGTCAGCCTCCCTCACCTCAGGAAAGCTGTGTCAGTTAAACCTAGAAATGCCAGTAATACAAAATAAAAACATTACTGTGGTTACCCCCGGTCATTGTGTAGTTTGTACTTAAGCCGCTCGTGTATGTGCCATCACGTGATTGTGCTTTATGTCGTACAAGTGACTGCAGGATTACTTAATTAAACAAGAATTAACAATATTGGAGTTTACAGTTGTCTCATCAATCTCCATCACTCCAGTACCGACTCACAACTATAGTAATCACACGTGAACGATAATTTGAATAAGAACATGAAACTGTCGTCGACCAAATCTCTTAAATTAATGGGCTGCAGAATGCATTGTGAATGGTGGCAGCGGGGGGATTGTGGTGGAGGGAGAGTTCTAAACTGTGTATCCGCTCCTGTGGCTGAACTAGAGAAGCTCCCATAGACATGGCTGCAGTCCATAATGTGTGAGTGTGTGTGTGTGTATGTGTGTGTGTGTGTGTACTCTAATCTCTTCATACCCGTGGTGTTTGGATAGCGTAGCTCGTTCCTAAGGAAGTTTTATTTTACATTAGAAGAATCCGCATTAAATTGGAGGCTGGGGAATAAAAATTCGACTTCGTGGTTTGTCATCGACGTTATTAATTCTTAATAATTTTTTGTAATCAAGTTTATTTTAAGTCTACTGTTCCACGCGGCTTCCACGGCGAGCGCGAGAGTTGGTAATTGTGGCATGTCTTGTTTACACTTGCTATTCCCTCCTAATCAATTTCCATTCAACACTGAATTTATTCAATTGTTTTTGTTAAAGGATGACATGGGAGGTCCAGTGTGTTTTATAAGAACGCTGTAGGCCTATCGCACGGCGCCTCTATCAAACATCCTGTGGTCACATCCGGGGACCTGACCAAAAATTTATGGATCGATAATGATTCAAATAATTTACCTAAAAAACTATTGGTTTGAGTCTTATGTCGAAGCAATATACAGCAGCTAATAATGCATGTTTTCAATATATTTTGAAAACATATATATATTATATATAAATACATGTGATTTTTTTCACAGATGTCAGCCAACGTTGTCGGTGCAATTCAATATGATTAAATTTATGTATATCTGGAAATAAATTTATCTTATTTTGAAGTGATAGTTTTTATTTTACCTTTATTAATGATACCTTAAGTACTGGGATGGCAAACCTATGGCATGCGTGCTCAGGTTGGCACGCAAGTAAATTTTGCTGGCAAGCAGCACGCAGAGCCGACCCTTGATTATTTAAACCCCATCCATAAGTAAATTAATATTATTAGTAATAGTCATTATTGTTGTTACTAATTCATTAATTTCACTTCCTAGTAGTTTATAGTTATTAACACAAAATTCCTAAAGCTGAACCGTTTAAAACAATTCAAGAGTTATTAGTTGCTTATAATAACAACTAGTTGTTATTAGTTGAATAATAACTAATTCAAATTAGTTATTAGTCTGTATGTTATTACAGACTTCTTTAAAAATGCTTTTAAGTATTGTTCTCTCTCCATAAAAAATGGTAAAACAATCAATATAGTTATATGGGCGCAAGATACAATTTTTTTTTACTATTGCCAATTTGGGCGCACGGTCTCAAAAAGGTTCATAACCCATGCACTAGGATGTTTCAAACGATAGCCTCAGTGACGGAGAAATGGGAAAACCTTCACAAGCTCCTAGGAATAGGCAGCCCAACTGTCATATCTTGAAAACGGAAATTTAATATAGAATCTTCGATTAAATTATGACCAAATAGCTAAATTTGCATTTTATAGTTTATAAAGGTTGAATCTTCCTGGAAGAGTTTGAGGCAAGCATAAGGACAGCCAACATTAAAGCGGGAAACTGCCATAAGGACGAGCAGTTGATAGTCCCAGAGGAGACGATAGCCTCAATGACCTCGTCTGGTGGATAACTAACCCTGCAGCTCTCCACGTGATCACGTGACCACATAAGCACTATAATCTCAGACCCTCACATCTACTAGCCCTGGAAGTTACAGCCTCGTGCTAGGTAAGTTCACAACGGGCTCACCATAGCCCGTGCTACTTAAAACTTTTTGTTCCAAGTAGCGAATCTAAAACAACAACATCTACTAGCATGAAGACAACTTTATAGCTAATTACTATATATTAACATAATATATATTTATTAAATCAAATAAATACTACGGTTTACAGAAACTAGATAAACAAACCGGCTGTGATCGGGTCTCTCTTACCCACTTTCCCTTTACTCCCTCTCTTTCCTTTCCCACAATATACCCCTACCCCCCCCCCTCTCTCCCCACTCACTTCCGATCTCCCCCTTATTCTCCCGATCTCATTTCGACCCCCTTTTTTTCTTTTCACCCGACATCCCCCTCCCCCCCCCTCTCACTCAGAAATTTTAATAGGATGAAGCACTTAAAAATTGCTAAAAATACATATGTAAAACAACCCCCCAGTTTCAGATTTCATGAAAATCGCTATAGGGACCGATTTTTCTTAGAGTGGCATTGGGACCGATCTCGACAAGCCTATGACACTCGCATACCACCCATGAGTTATCTTGAAAAGTTGGAGGAGGCTACCTCCAATCACCTGGCCTTCAACCTTGGGCGGACAAAGACACATTCCCTTTTATAGATAAAGATTACTTACTTTTCAAACAGGCACATAAGGCTCCACTATCCTATCTCTTGATTAAGGGATACATAGCGGCAGGTCACCATCACCCAAGTCAGCATTTCAGCAGCCAAAATGACCGTAGCAGTTGGAGCACCTGAAGCGGAACAGAACGATTGTAAGTTGACAAAGCTGAAGCTGAGAGGATGATGAGTCAACATGGATAACATACCACTGCAAGAGCTGGACTCTTTCAAGCTTGTAGGTAAACACCAGACTAGTTAGTACTCGTGTCAGACTATTGTCCGGAAACTTCCCTCATTGGTCTAGCTGATCTCTCGGGTGTCTCTTGTTCCCTGAACTGTTTAGAGTCTGGTCATATATCCAGTGACTTGTATACCAGTACTAGTGAGAAAGAGCGCGCGTACTCGCGCGTGTGTGTGTGACGTATAAGATATATATATATATATATATATATATATATATATATATATATATATATATATATATATATATATAGTTAAATGGATAAGATAGGTTTAGTTTGTCAAAGCAACACAAGTAAAAACATAGTTTTACGGTTTGTCCAACTCTATAGTTCAGATTTGTCCGTTCTAATTTTGTTATTCGTCGGTATATACTATGGTCCTCATCAGTACTATAGGTACTACCAAAACAGGAGGATAGGCTGAGATATATATACCGATTAAAAGGGGAAACCCTCTATTACTCTGACAGAAAAGACTTTAGGGTTAATATTCAAAGGGCTGTCAACAGAAGCCCACATCAAAGGAATATAATTAGCCGTATATAGAACGTTGGCCAACATAAGAACTCTTTCAAAATATGATGAAGGTTCAGATCCTTTTATAACACAGCATTCTTTATTATTATTTTCTACCACAAATGTGGCCACACATTTACGATGCTAACCATGCATCATTTATACATTTTCTTTTGTCCTCCATGGCCAGGGTAAGAGATGTGTTATACATCACCATGTGTGTCAGACCAATTTTGACAACCCATCCTCCTGTTTAGGTAGTACTTTTAGTAACTATGTGAACCATCGTACATACACACATGTATTGGACAATTAGATAGTAGAATTTGGTACTATTCACTTTATAGAGTCCGACAAAATAATATATAAAAAACAATTTTAATATTCCTAGACCTACTGTAGCATATATGCCTATAGCATATATGCCTATAGCATATATACCTATAGCGTACCTAGGTACGCTATCTAGGGCCCAGATAGCGTGTATTAAGCCTAAAAAGGTTTGGTCAAGTTTTCTTTGCAACATTATAAAAACGTGTCCGGTTTGTTCAAATTCATTAGTACCGATTTCTATTTTCTAATTGCCTTTGACGTCAATATATGTACGATGGTCCACATCGTTACTTTAATTACTACCTAATCAGGTGGATTAGGTAGTACTCCTTTAAGGAGCAATTCCATATTAAATCAGAATCGTTTGAGTATATATATGATTTTTGTATAGACACAATAAACCACCACTCACTGGTTGAATAGGGGATGCTTAATGAACTATCCACTTCTGGTGGCAAAAATTCAATATATATACAAAAATAAAAAAAAAATTGGGCTACTCTTATTCCAAATTCGCTACTTTTAGAGCGTCAGCTCGCTACTTTCAACAATTTAGATCTGGCAACCGTGGACTCTACTGGAGACAGTCTGTAGATGGTCAGCCAACCGCGAGAACGTCTTGTGTGATTGCTAAGAGGTTATCAAGGTTAATTGGCGTGCTGTTTCAGTATGACCTGCTCACCATAACAATACCAGAGTCAATATATTCTCCAGCATAAAAAGGTAAGCCACTCATGTTACATATATCAACACATATACGGATTTACTTTGCAAACAAGAGCATATAGGTGCTAAGATTGCGTCAAAGCATTTGCGAGAGTATTGTAGCCTGTACAACAACACTATAGTGTTGCTGAACTACTGAGTGGAAGTCGTTGATGATCCTGGCATATGTGCGCTATAATTATAGTTTGTGAAATGATAAACGGGCATTATAACATGGCGTAGAATTCGCACAACCAAGATACAGACATTAGAGAGTTTGTTTCAGAATAGAGTTCTAGATACAGGCAGGCAGGCGGAAAGAATCAAGGGCGTAGATATACTGTACCTTCATCGTGGTGAAGGTGTGTACGTTTCAACAAGGCTGCAGCATTATATAGGTATTAGGACACCCGGATGGTTCAAGGTAACGAGTGGGTTCGCCTCTCATTCAAACCGTTAACGATCCGCTTCGCTCACTCCCACAACTTTAAGGTGCATAAATACTTACTATATATATTTATACATATATACATAAATATATGTATATATAACATATAATTTTAATTAGAAGGAGGCACTATTAAATATTAATACATATTTATTTATTTATATTATCATTTTTTTTACATTTTTATCGTCTCTACCAGCAAAACGCGGTGTAAAGTTTGTGTCGGAGGCTTTATAAACTTGTGACAACTTCGAGTGCAACAACGAGACCAACATGTTTATAAATGTGACTTTGGACGCAGATACGGCACAACATTGAGTAGGCGCGAGTGAATGTGGGAACGCGTTGATAGCTTCCAGACATGCTGACAGCTTACAGGCGTGATGACAACCAGTCATATTGAAAGGTTCAAAGAAATGCTGTTGGATTCCAGACGCACTGACGGCTTTCGGGCATAATATGACGTCTTCTAGATATGCTGACGGCTTCCAGGCGTTCTGAAAGACTTCCAGGCATGCTGGTAACCTTTTAGGCGTGCGGATAGCTTTCACGGTTGCTGATAACTTTCGAAAGTGCTAATAGTTTCCAGTCGTGCTGACAGTTTTCAGGCGTGATGTCAACTTCCAGGGTACTGACCGATTCCAGACGTGAGTGCTGACAGCCTTCAGGCGTTCTAACACCCCGTTCTAACACACAGGCGTGCCGACAGCACCCTAGGCCTGCTAACAGTACCCTAAGCATGTTGACAGCTTGAAGACGCACCGACGGCATTCTATTCGTGCTGACAGCGTGTAGACGCACTGACAGCACCCTATAGGCGTGCTGACAGCGTGTAGACGCACTGATGGCGTCCAACAGGTAGCTAGTGTCTTGAATATATTTGCAGAGACTATGTGGAGGACGCAGTATCAGATCTGGTGTCCATTCCCTCCCACTACTGAACATGACGGAACAGTATAATGAGTCTCTTGTCGCAGATTGCCTAGTTCCCAGTGGCTACGTCTATCACGTCACGAGGATCTGCGTGCTCGTGACGTGATAGCGATATATATACATCTACAATGTATATATATATCGCTTATATCAAGGTCCACTCCCAAGGTTAGGTTGTTGACCTTACCCGGATGCGATTAAACCCACAACAAGCTTACTCCCGGGTACTTGTTTCCTGCCAGGGGGGAACAGGGGGCACTATAGGATATATCCCGCTCGGGATTCGAACCCGGAATTTCCGATT